GTCAGCTTGCCCAGAGAAGCTGTGGATGCCCCATCCCTGGGAGTGTCCAAGGCCAGGCTGGATGAGGCTTGGAGCAACCTGGGCTATGGAAGATGTCCCTGCCCATGGCAGGGGGTGGCACTGGGGGGGCTTTAGGGTTCCTCCCCACCCCAACCATTCTGTGGTTCTATGTTTCTGTTACTTTCTTTCTCACCTGCCCATGGTGCGCTGCACGTTGGATGCGTTGATGTCCAGCTGCAGCGTTGCACTGGCGTAGTAAAGGGATAAGGAAGGAACAAATCCCAGTTGTGTCTGTCCTTGTACAGCACGAGAAGTGGTCCCTCAGCACCGTGACGTGTTCACCCTGCTAACCAGGGCACTTTTCGTACCGTGCGTCATGCAGCAGCACTCTGCTTTCTGTCCGCTCGTGCAGCGCTGTGTCCACACCAGGAGCACGTCGTGGCACCACACGTCGTGGCACGCGCTTGTCACTGTGGGGCTGCAGCAGCTGCGAGGCCGAAGCCTCAGGACCTGCGCTCTGCGGTTGCCATCCGTCTCGCTGCCGTGGCCTCGAGGCGCCCCATCTGCAGAGCGGCACGCAGACGGAACGGAGGAGGGACACGCACAGTGTGGCTGACGGCTTGCTGACACGGGCACTCCCGGGAACTGGGCTACTGGGGTTTTTTCATTCCTCCTCTGCAGCCCTTGGGTGCAGTCTGGCAGCATTCCCGTGCCATGCTGCCTCCAGTGGGTTCAGCTGGATGGGTCTGAACTGGCGTTAGCGTCCTCTGGGGTGGATACTCAGTATGGTTCAGGGAAGAGTTGGTGGTGGCTTAAATATTCCACTGTGCTGCCTCTCCTTCCCCAGCGAACATCCCATGGTGTCGCGTTCCTTCCGCAGGTGCAGTATTTGGTGGAGAAAGGAGCAGTCATCGAGCACGTGGATCACAGCGGCATGCGGCCCCTGGACAGAGCCATCGGATGTCGGAACACGGCCGTAGTGGTTATGCTGCTGAGAAAAGGAGCTAAACTGGGTGAGTGACACCCCGCGGCACTCCAGAGAGACAACGGGTGCCGGCTCTGCTGGAATTACTGCCACTCCTCTGAAGAAGATTCAGTGAAGCTGGAAACACGGGCGAGGTTTTGCAGGCTGCGTGGCTTGCAGACGCGCGCTCAGGGGAGATCAGTCTCCCTCTTCAAGATGCTCGAGACTCAGTTCAGCGAGGAGATGTGAGCGGTTTCATTCTGCTCCGTCCTTTGCTGAACGCCGATGCGGGGTCTGGAGGAGTCCGCCCTTCCGCAGTGACTCTGTCTCGATACACCTAACAAGATGCCCATGATTGCACTGTTAGTGAGACGTAACTCTGACACATTAGTGAGTCAGCTTAAGAAGTTTTCCACTTAAATGACATTCTTTCAACAAACTCCAGATGCTTACGTTTTGGCAAAGGCACAGCAAAAAGGGTATGTCCAGAGCAGGCAAGTCGGGGTACCTTTGTGTGCGTGGTCATGACTGAATCTGTCGTGCCTTTATATCGCCATTTCTTATCGTTGGGTACGAAGTGGGATGGAACACAGACCCCTACTTAGGCCTGAACTTCACCGTGACGGTCATGCGGGCCTGTACTGGCTTTAGACCGGGCTGACGTGAAGCAGACCCTTTAATATCTGGCTGGATGGTGGGAGGCTGCTCTGGATATGGACGTGTTCTAAACGTATGTGCCCACACATCACAATAGAATAGGCGAGCTGGAATATCTGCTGGAGCAGGACTAGGCTTTCCAGTGGGAATAGATACCGGAAACACTC